CTTTATTTGATCTGAAGTGAAATTAAATATCTTATAACTTCCATTTCTCTTTTCCACGTAAAGAAATCAGTACCATTGTTTTACAGAAATGGTTTAACGATTAAATGACTGCAGGAAAACATGACGTATCTGTGTAAAAAACTCTCACTGATGGCAGCGGTTTATTTAAAGGTGATCCAGGTCACCTTTAGGACACGGTGGGACCAAGTCTCATTAAAACAGGACACGTTTTAAAACAACCAGTTTATTCATCGCTTCACAGACATTAAATAAAAACAACTTAATAAATACATAAAAAACTAAAGCAGGCATCTTTATGTCAGGAAGAAAAGGAATTCATAACCTGACAGAGAAGAAGGTGGATTATTAATTCATTTAATCTGATAAACAGGTGGGGGTGGGGGGTTAGGACGGCAGAGGAAGCAAAATATACACAGAAAAATAGAATCTGCAGAAAAATAGAGACATTTAGATCTTTGTCAAAAAACATGAAAATGTACAATCCATCTGAAAGCTCAAAGATATGAAACAGTCTGTAAGGAAGGGGCGGAACAGGGGGCGGGGCGTCACTGTAGACCTGCTGAGCAGCAGAACAGAACTATCCGGGTCTAAGAGGGCGCCAGGAAGCGGGTTTAACATCAGAACACTGGAGAACCCAGAGTGACGTCCCACAAAGCTGCTCATCACCTGAACGTCCATCAGGACAGCGAGCTCGCCGCCGGCTCTATCTTCACGCAATCAGCCTGATTTTCATCGGCTGGATGCAGATCAGGATCGGCCCCAGCAGATGGAGGGCCCGACCCTATCCACGGAGCGTCACCGTCTTCAGAAAAGTGGATCCGATAAACGTTGGTCTGAGCAGGAATCAGCTTCTGGCCTCGGCTTCCAATAGGAACAAACTTCGTTACCGTGGCGGCGACCCCAGCTCAAAGGCAAAGCAGCCGATGAAGGGCTGTGGTCACATCCAGCCGTCAGGCGCTGTGATCTGAGGAGGAGCGAGGCGGCAGGATAAAGAGCTGCTGCTTCGGGCTCCAGATGTTTAACAACTTTAGAAACGGAAAAAACGGAAATAAGGCCTCAAGAGATAAAGCAGGAGTTTTGCATCCGAACGTCACATTTTGGTTTAACAGTGCAGCAGCCTGTCACACACACACACACACACACCCCCACACACGCACGCACGCAGCCAGCCCCTGAGGGAGTGAGTGTCCCCCTCCTGCAGAGCCGCCACCCTCTCCCTCCCACACCCTGCATAGCAGACTGCTGCTGATCCCGTCGCAGCGTTTCCTTCTTCAAACCAACTTATGAGAAAACAGTGGAGCAGAAAGTTAAAGATCACAAAGTCTTCCAGGGTTCAGAAACGCCCGGCATGTTAAGACCACAACGAAATGACATCATAGCCCAGAGCTGGATTTGGTCTTTGGGTTCCACAGCCGTC